GGGGTGTGGGGACTAAAAGGATGGGTGTGGAGAAGGACGGGAGGGAGGATGGACAGGGAGAGATAAACAGAGACAGACTTATAGAGCGGTATGCAAAAACCAGTTTAAAACCCGTGAAGCAAAGAGAAATGGGTGTGAGCTCGACAGGGATGAAGACGGTATCCCTTCTGTTGACGTACACAGGTGACCCGGAGCTGCCGCGAGTGTCCTGACCAGATTTCCCTCTGGTGGATTTGTGTGGGTGGCCTTGAAGCTCCTTATTAAACCATTAGACCTCCCAAAGAATGACTTGATTCTTTAACGTCTAGAAAAGCCTGATTTCTCTTTAAAAAGAAAAAAAATTAATACTTGATTAAGAATTGGAGTTAGTTGAGTTATTTGATATATTATTTCTAAAATATATTAACGCCGCAGGCACCCTGTGTAACCCACAGGCCACATATCTTAACATCTTTCCCCTTCTAATATGTACACACATGTACAGAGACAATTTTCCACAAAAGGAAAGTGAATTTTGCTTTGCTTTGAACACCTTCACCTATGTTAGTTCAACTAAAAGGGATAGCGTGGTGGGAGTTACGGAGAGATCCGAGTGGGCGGTGAAGTGGATGGCTGGGCAGCCTGCAGAGGCCCGGGGAGGCGGGAGGCTGGGCCGTGAGCCACCGGCCTCCCCCCGCCCCCTCTCCTGGCCACCAGGTCCTCAGGGCCTCTGCAGAGCCCTTGTGCCTCCGCAGACTTCTCATTCCTCAGGATGGTCTTTGGTTTGCTCCCGATCTGGCTGGCTGTGTTTGGTCTCGTGGTGTCAGGTGTTGGAAGGGCTACATTCATCCGTTGTTTTGCTGGTGCCTGTGGGAGCCTCACTTGCAGCGCTGTGAAATACCTGAGGGTATTTCTGCTCCTGCTGCTTCACCTGTTGTACGAGATTCCCGTGCTTGCGCTGTGCGGTCTGGCTCGCAAAGAAATGTCCAATAATTCTGACGATCACTTCCTCGTTTTTATCGGGCGTTTGGTCGCGAGGCACGATGACTTCTGCGCTGGTTAGGTTCTGCAGTTCATTCACGGTTTTGCCGCCCTTGCCGATCACCCGGCCAGCGGTGGAAGAGGGCACTCTGATGTGGGCTTCCAACTTCACCTCCTCTTTGGGGTTAAAGAAGTTTTCTTCTTTCAGTTTCCCAAAGATCCGCCCCTGAGCCTTGAAGTGGGCTTCTGGCTGTCGGGTGATGATGACCATCCTTTCACTGACGTCTGGGCCTTCCGCTGGGGCAATCTTGATGGAGGCGTCCGCAAACTGAGCCAGCTGCTTGTGCGCGCCCTTCTTCCCGATGATTGCCCCGAGGGCCTGGATAGGGATGAAGAGATGATGCGGGAACGGGCTGAACTGGTGAGGGGGGTACAAGCTGGAGAAGTATCCGGAGTGGGTAGAGAACGGGTGGTAGGGGGGAGCAGGGGGAGGTCCTCAGGGCCCTGCGGGTGGAGGAAGCACAGATAATCCTGTTGAAAAGATGCCAAGTGCGCTGAGGTTCAACCTCAGGATCAGGTTGGCTTGTTGATTTACAGCCAGCATGTCATTTTCAAAGGCCTCACGTAGCTTCTTCATAATCTCCATCTCAGCACTGGCACAGGCCTCGACTGTGCCCTTCACAGTGATGGTTCTTTCAGGGTTGTATATGCTCAAATCCTGCAAGGATGAAATTGTTATCTTGGTCCCAGTTTCATGTTCAATTTTCTTCAAATTTCTGCTTTCTTTTCCGATAAGTCTTCCAACCAAGCGATTGTGGGCCAAGATTTTCAGAGGAATCTCTTCAGTTCTCAGAGTTTCCATATTATCGGTGGATTTCTTGGTAGAAATGTTGCAGGCCAGGAGGGAGTGGGATGATATATTCAAAATTTTGGTCTCATCAGCCTCCTTATGCATGATTTCAAGAATCATGCAGCACGATTCCGAAGTCCCCTCTGGGGTGGCATGGATGGTGACGGGCTTCTCCGCGGCCCCAGAGTTTTCCTTCCTATGGATGTCTACCCGGGACTGGGTCTGCTTAGTGATGTTCTTTTTTTTTTTTTTTTAATATATTTTATTGATTTTTTACAGAGAGGAAGGGAGAGGGATAGAGAGTTAGAAACATCGATGAGAGAGAAACATTGATCAGC